ATGCAAATTAAAGCAACTCTGAAGTCCCATCTCACACCCATTAGATTGGCAAAGATGACAAAAAAGGAAAATGACCAATGTTGGAAGGGCTGTGGGAAAACAGGCACACTGATGTACTCTTTGGAGCTGTGAATTGGTCCAGCCTTTCTGGAAATCAGTTTGGAATTGTGGACAAAAAATACACTAAACATACCTGGTGACATCACTACTAATCATATGCCTCAAAGAGATCAAAGTAAGAGGAAAAAGACTCACACAAAAATATTTATGACGCTCTTTTTGTAGTGGCAAAGAACTAGAAAGTAAGTAGTATCATCAATTGGGGAATAGCTGAACAAATTATTATATTATGAATGTAAAGGAATATTATTTGGCTGTAAGAAATTATGGAATGAACAGTTTCAGAGAAACTTTGGAAAACTTGTATGGACTGATGCAAAATGGGGTGAGCAGAGCCAGGATAAAAATGTGCAAACTAACACCATTGCAAAGACAAATATTTTGGAAAGAATTAAGAGCTCTGATCCATGCAGTGACCAACCATGATTCCAGAAGACTGAGGATGGAGAATGAGGGATATGTTTTTGAACATGGCCAATTCAGGAATTGGTTTTGTCTGACTCTGCATATTTGTTATAGAGGTTTAGTTTGTTCTTTTTTTTTTTTCAGTGGGGTAGAGTTGGAAGGGAGAGAAAATAAGCATGTATCAATTGAAATATATATATATATATGTATGTATATATATATATATATATATATATATATATATATATAATATGAGTTTAAAAAATAACCAGTCTCTGAGAGCTCAGTACTGTTTTCTCTCCTGTGCTTCCTGTCTCCTCTGATGTTATTCCTCCTCACTGAGCACAGATTCTCAGAATTGGAAAGGACTTTAGAGATTATCTAGCTAGCAGCTCATTCCCTAATAGAATGTGACTTTCTTAAGGTCAGGAGCAGGTCTGTTTTTATCTCCACATCTACTCCAACCTTTAATGGACCAGGTATTCTCTCTATAATGTACTTGAAAAGTAGTCATTCAGCCTCTCCTCAAAACCTCCTAGGATGGGGAACTCATTACCTGATGATGCAGTTCATTCCACTTTTGGACAGTTCTAATTGCTTTAAAGTGATACCTTCTTTTTTTAATATTACCTTCATTACCAAATATATCCCTTTCCCTTCTCTTAGCAAACTAACCAATTTATCACCCAAGTCTGCCCATATATAGTGCATAGTTCCCTACCTCTGTAAAACAGTGAGGAAGGGGCATTTTTTCATCTTTTCTCCCAGGCTGTTTGGTCATTATCATTATTAAGGGTCCTGTTTTATTTCATTGTTCTCATTTACATTGTTGTAGTCCTTTTGTATATTGTTTCTTGGGCTATACATACTTTGCCTTGCATCAGTTCATGCAGATCTTTCCAGGCTTCTCTGTATTCATGTGTATCATTTCTTGCAACACAGAACTATTCCATTACCTCCATGGACCATATTTTGTTTAGCTCTTCCCCAAATGATGGGCATCCACTTTGTTTCCAGTTCTTCGATACCACAGAAAGTGTTGTTCTGAATATTTTGGTGTAGGTGGTGGTGGATATTTTGTTTCCTCCCCTCCTTGTAGTATATGCCTACCAGTGGGATCCCTGGGTCATTTTTTAAGTGTCATTCCAAAATGCTCAGACCAATTCCCAGCTCCACCAACAGTGCATCAGTGTGCCTGTTTTTCCGCATCCCCTCCAACATTGACTATTCCCATCTTTTGTTATCTTTGCCAGTTTTCAGTGATTTGGAGCAATTATTTTTCTTATGGCTGTTAATCATTTGCAATACTGAAGACCTCCTCCAGTTCTCCTGGCTTCCAGAGATGTTCCCTGTAAGATTACTCACCATCTACTCTGTATATATCTTGTACAGACACATTTATTTACGTGTGCCCCCCCCGCCTTAGAATGTAAACTCCTCAAGGTCAGGATCTATTATTTTTGCCTTTTTTGTACGTGGGAATACTAGTGGGATCTACTTATTGAGACACAGTGTAGTCTAACGTAAAGAAAACAAGATTTGGAGTCAGAGGGCAAATCTTTGTTCAAATTCTGGCTGTTACTTCCTGTATGATCTCTAGGTGACATAATAGATGGAGCCCTAGTCTTGGAATCAGGAAGACTTAAGTTTGAATCCTGTCTCAGACACTAGTTATGTGACCTTGAGCAAATCACTTAACCTCTATCTGTCTCAGTTTCCTGAATTGTAAAATGGGCATCATAATAGCACTTACTTCCCAAGGCTTTGATGAGGATAAAATGAGATAATACTTGTAAAGTACTTTGCAAACCATAAAGTGGTAAATAACAACAACAGTAATAATAGCTAATATTTGTATAGTACTTTAAGGTTTGGGGAGCACTTTATAAGTATTATCTCATTTGATCCTTGCAAAAACCCTGGGAGGAAGTGCTGTTATGATCCTCGTTTTACAGTTGAGGAAACTGAGGCAGGCAGGGGTTAAGTGACTTGCTTAGAGTCAAACACAACTAGTAAGTGTCTGAGTCAGGACTTAAATTCGGCTTCCTGACTCTGACTCAGCATTCCATCCACTATGTCACCTCGTGGTTATTATGATTATGGTGATGATGATTATCCAGGAAAAATACTCTCTGTCCCCTCAAACCTTACCCATCCTTCAGAAGCCAACTCAAATCCCACGTCTTTCAGGAAGGCTTCCCTGGTCCAGGGTGATTTCTTCATGCTCTACCACATAGACCACACACTGTCTATACTGCCATCCTGGTGCACACCCAGTCTTGGGGGGGGGGGATACCTGCCTGGGGCTGGTGGGGCTTACTCTCTACCCTAGGCTCAGAGAGTTAAAAAGCAGAAGCCACTCCCAGGAGCTCAAGATCAGTATCTTCAAGCGATACTAATATTTGCTAGCTTGTTTACCAGAAGAACCTGGATGATGGGAAAGATGTCAGGGTCCTCAACAGAAATAGGGAAGTGAGCAAGAGAGAAAGGGTTGGACTGGCTGACCTCTGGGCCTTGTAACTCACATCTGGTCCTAATGCTGGGAAAAAGCCCCAACTTAGGAGCATTCAGCCTATCTTAGAGAAAGAAATTCCTTGGAACATAGCATCATTATACACGTGGACTCTGGCACTATGGGGAGAATATGTATGCGTGTGTCTGTAAGATCATATAATATTAGGACTAAGATGAGCCTGAGAATATAAAATGTCCAAGCTGAAAGGGACCTTTAAGGTCCTGTGGCCCATTGCCCTTCAATTTACAGTCTCCAAAGGGTTGAAGTAATTCACCCACAACCATATAGCAAGTAAGTGGCCAAGGTGGGATTCATTCCCAAGTGCTCTGCCTCTAAATCTGGCCCCTACAAAGAGAATTAAAATGCCCAGGATGTCAAGAAAAGGGTCTAGGGGGGTGCAGGAGATTTCTTCAGTGCTTTCCTCATTTGGAGAAGGATAGGTGACAATTTCTGGGTCCTCAGCCCAGGGCCAAGACTATAGGCCCTGCTCGGGCTGGTTTGCCTGGCCCTGCCTCTCATAAGGATGGGTGAGTCTCTCTCTTGAGTTGCCCAGCCTCCACCAGAGACGGGCACCTTAACCCGAGGGTCCTGGGAGCTCCGATGAAGAGCTGAAACCAGGAACCATCAAAGCCTGCAGAACAGCTCTGCACTTCGATGGTGCAGATAAAATGTAAATGACAGGCAACATGACATCCCACCCTGGGAGCCAAATTGCTTGGGTGCTTTTTTTTTCTGGTGTGTTTCAACAATGCCACATTTCTCTAGAGCTTTGATGTTTACAAAGATCTTTCCTTGCATTACCCACTTTATAGGGGCCGCTACACATATTAGAATCCCCATTTTGCAGATTAGGAAACCGAGCCTCAGGCAAATGAAGTGACTTTCCCAGGGTCATAGTAGGTGGATTCTTCATCATGGAATCAAGACTAAAAATGCGGTTGAAAAATCAATGGACTTGGAGTCAGAGGACCCAGATTTAAATCCCACACCATCACACTAGCTGTGTGACCTTGGGCAAGTCCTTTCCCTTCCCTTGGCCTCACTTTCTCATCTATAAAATAAAGAGGGGGGGAATAACTAGATGTCCTGTGAGGTTGGTGATCCTATGTGTGACTTTGGGTGAGTCACTTCCCATCCTAGGCCTCAGTTTCCTAATCTGCAACATGAGGATTTTGCCCTAGCTGGCTTCTGTGGATTGTTCCAGGTCTACATCTAGGGGCCTGTGAACCTGGTTTTTTTAGCCTTGTGAAGAGAAGACTTGGTTGGAGGTGGGGGATGGGGCAGTGAAGGGCACATGAATGGCAGCTGTCTTCAAGTATCTGCAGGGCACTCCTGTGGAGGGGCCATGAGAACTGGCCCAAAGCTTTGGCCCCATAGGACTGACCCAGGAGCCCCATCCAGGCTTGATGGCCTGGGCCAAAGAGGACTGGGCTTTCCTGAGACCCCTGCAGGCAGCTGAGGGGCAGACCACAGAGGGAATGTTCTCTGAGGCCCCTTCCAACTCACATTCTGTGATCCTTTGTAAGAGGATCCTTGAGTTTATCAGTGGCCTTTGGGATTCTTCCAGGGCCCAACACACAGTAGCCATTTAATAAATGTTTGTCAAACTGACTCCTCCTTCTCTGAAACAAAGTTTAGATAAGACCTGGCAGTGCAATGACGAGAGCATTAGATTTAGGGCTTAAATTCCAGTTCTGAAATCTCCAAGTCACGTGAACTTGGGCAAGAAGACTCTAGGCCTCAGTTTCCTTTTCTGCAAAATGAGAGGCTTGGCTCAGAGGGTCTTTAAGGTCCCTTCCAGCTCCTGATCCTACTTTCTTGGAGAGCACAATTTAGCCAGTCAGTCAATAAGTATTTATTAGGTGTCTTTGATGAAATGATTCATGCATCTGCAATGAAATGTTGTTCTGTCTTTTAAAGATTGATAATAACAATAAATTCCCCTCTTGTCTTGATCCAGGTCTTGCTAATAATGAAGAGGCCCTGATAAAACCCAAACTGAGCTTCCTGGAGGACCAAGTGGTGATCCCAGCCGGTTCCCCATTTGATATAACTTGCAGGTAAGGATAACAAGGTCCAGGGTCAAGCTAGAGGATGTGGGGCTGCCGTAGTATCGCTTGGACTGACCTCAGAACCACCATCACACTCACCATAAAGAAGCTATGACAGTTTCTGTCCTGCCACTAATGGATTGAGGGCTAGGTTTGGAGTCAGGGAGACCTGAGTTCAAATCTCACTTCTGATAATGTTTGTGTGACCTTGGGCAAGTCCCTTCTCTTCCCAGGGCCTCAGTTTCCTCCTCTGTAAAATGAGGGGTTGGACTCCTGGGTCCCTTCTAGCCTCCGACTTTGGATTCTGTATGTGATCTTGTGTCTCTCACTCCCTTTCCCTGCATCTCCATTTCCATTTCTGTCAGACTAGCTGATCTCTGAGGATACTAAGACCAGGGGTATTATCCTACTGTAAGGCTGAGGTTCCACCCAGACTCCTTCAAAAGCCCAGGCTCTTTGATTTAATCTATCTATCGTACTCTGATCCTATGAGCTGCATTGAATTGAAGGACTGAATGAATGCTTTGCTAACCATCCCTTTGAATGGACCTTTCAGTTGACGCCCAGAGTAGCCAGAGAATCTTCCTTGGATCATGTGTCCTAGGGAGGAACACCCTTCAGATCTGTGTGAGCTTGCATGCCAGCTTAGCACATTCTCCCTCTAGGGTGACAGAAGCTGGGCTGCCTGGGTTCTAGTGTTTTCTGGGGGTTCCCTGGCAGCGCTCCTTCCCCAGCCTCTGAAGGCTATCCGCCAGCCTTCTGGCCTCACTGGGCAAGGGGAGATAAGGAGACACAAAGTTGTCCTGATTGCAGCAGCTCCTCGTTGTGGAGGCAGAGAGATTGAGACTGAGTTGACTCCTTTTTCTCTTTATCTTTTATTTATTTACTCATTTATCTATTTATTTATTTGAATTTATTTATTTAATTTTTAGAAATTATTTCAGGGCTGCTTTGCCAACTGGTTGGCTCTTTCCTCTCCAGTGCCTTCCAGTCCTCTTTTCCCTTTGTTCCTTCTCCTTTTCCTCCTCTTCCTCCTTCTTTTCTTCTTCCTTCTCTTCCTCTTTCTCCTCCTCTTCCTTCTTTACCTTTGTTTAGTTTTTTTTTTAGGCAGTTGAGGTTAGTGACAATAAGTACCTATTGTGTGTGTGTGTGTGTGTGTGTGTGTGTGTGTGTGTGTGTGTGTGTGTGTATATATATATATATATATATATATATATATACAGATTCACACATATATGTAATAAATCTAAGGGGTGGCTAGGTGGTACAATGGATAGAGTGCCAGCCCTAGAGTCAGGAGGACCTGAGTTTAAATGTAGCCTCAGACACGTACTAGCTGTGTGACCCTGGACAAGTCACTTCACTCTACCTTAGTTTCCTCATCTGTAACATGAGCTGGAGGAGGAAATGGCAGGCCGCTCTAATATCTCTGCCAAGAAAACCCCAAATGGGGTCATAAGGAGTCAGACAGAACTTGAAAATGACTGAACGACAACAACAATAAATCCAAAGAGATGAAGCACACATACCTACAAGATAGTTAAGGAAGGGGGCACAGTGAAGATCAGGAAAGACTTCAAGATCTGACCCATGCCACATTTGGCCTCATGTATTGGCTGAAGATAACCCTTGCCTACAGTTATGAAAATGGCCCAGCTCAGGGCTCTTTGGACAGCTGAAGACTAGAGACAGCTGGGGGCTTGGGCAACTCCTGTTTGGTCTTAGGGGCTTCTCTCTCCTCTGTTCTTCTTTAGTCGCTGCCAATCCTAAGTCACACCCTTGCGTAGAATTATCCAAAGAGGCAGCGAGTAGGAGTCCTAAGAGGAAAATTCCTAGGGGCTTGCCATGGGACAGTCACTAAAATGATGGGATATCATGGAATACAACTCCAGCATAAATACATTCACTTCATATCAATGAAAGCCAAATTCAGATCAAAGGTAACAAGAGGGATATTTGTTTTAGGTGACAATGAGCAAAGAACCACAATTACTGAATGCAAGAGTTTGAATTTGGGGACTCTCTTAGGTTTTAGCTAAGCAAAGCAATATGGCTCTTACTGCTGTTATTAACATCTTTTTTGTGTGCAATGGGGCTTTCTGCTCCAGCTGGTAGAACCAAAATATTGGCCCTCATGCCACGGTGGAAGAAGAATCGTGAAGGTCATTGGCATCAATGATAGCATGCTTTGAGAAACATGGTGCCCAGAACCAAGCCCACCCAGCATGTTAGTAAGATTGGAATTATGGTATTATTTTTCTAAGTCAAGGGTAGGGATAAGGGACTAGACCAGGCCTGTGATTTCATTGGTATAAGAAACTTTTAGATGAGAAAACTCCCTTACCAAGGAAAGTTGCCAACCTTTTTGCAACATAGAGAATTGCCTGGAGCCCTGAAAGGGTAAATGACTTACCCAGGGTCACACAGCCAGCATTTGTCAGAGGAGGGACTTGAATCCAGGGCTTCCTGGCTTTCTGTCCATGACATGCTTTTATAAATCATAAATATGAAAATTGTAAAGGATTGTTTCAATTAATAAATATTTGTGACAATTTTGTTTTCATTGGGCATTTAACTTTTTGTGGGATGAAACTGTAAAATCCTTAATTTTATTGGAATAAAATTCAGTTTAGGAGAATGATTTATGCAGATTGCTTTATGCAAAGCATGTGCATGGGATGACAGTTTTTTTGGATATAAAAGGTGGGCATCAATCCATGAGGTTTGGAAACCACTGCCCTAGGGCATGGAAAACAAGTAGCCCTGAGTGACGTATGGGCAGGCTGGAGACATTCTACTGACAACAGCCCGGCCTACTCGGCAGACTCTTGGGTTGTTTTGTTGCTGTTGTTTTGTTTTTAGCACACATTTGACAAACTGAATGTTTCATTCTGTAATCAGTTATCTTGCTTTTCCTTTCAAGAAGTTCTGTGTTGATGTCTCTTCATAATGTGGATAACTCTGGGAGATCCTTCTACAACTTTTTCTGTGGCTTGGGAGGCAATGGGCCTATTGTAGAGATCGTCATTGAAACCTGTTGATTCGGACTGGTAGGCCCAACCAGAGTTTGTGCTCCCCTGGGATAGCCTTCTAGGACTCAGGGTCCCCTCACTGTCACAATGAAGCATCATGGGAAAATTTTGTCATTAGGTCACTATCTCACATGTAAAGAAATGAGAGAGGGGCCCAGATGACTACCAAGCTTGGTTCTAGATCAAAATTGGATGATTGCAGGCCTCCCTGGCCCTGTGCTTGGTTTACAAACAGGGTTCACCAATAGGCTGTCTGGGCCAGATGAGATTGCTGGAAGAGATGGAACTCTCTAACCCCCACCACTTGCCAGGTTGGGTCATAGGTGTATAGCACTGTAAAATGTTGGAGGAGGAAACTGAAGCCTAAGGAAGGGAAGTGATCTGTCCAAGATTACACAGTAAGTGTCAGAAGAAGTATGCTTAGTTCTGCATTGAATCATAGACTCTGGCATTTTTTTTAGATATCATCCTATCATATTCAATTCACATTTATTCCCTCTGTCTATATATACTCCTTCTAACTGTCCTAATAATGAGAAAGTTTTTGAGTTACAAGTATCATCTTCCCATGTAGAAATGTAAACAGTATAAGCTTATTGAGTCCCTTATGATTTCCTTTTCCCAATTACCTTTTTATGTTTCTTTTGAGTCTTGTGTTTGAAAGTTGGATTTTATATTCAGCTCTGGTCTTTTAATCAGGAATGCTTGGAAGTCCTCTATTTCATTGAATTTCCATTTTCCCCTTGAAGGATGATTACACTCAGTTTTGCTGGATAGCTAATTCTTGGTTGTAATTCTAGTGCCTTTGCCCTCCAGAATATCATCTTCCAAGCCTTCTGATCTTTTAATGTAGAAACTGCTTGTGTTATTCTGACCATGGCTCCACAGTACTTGAATTATTTCTTTCTGGCTGCTTGCAATGTTTTCTTTGTGACCTGGGAGCTCTGGAATTTGGCTATAATATTCCTGAGAGTTTTCATGGATCTCTTTTAGGAGGATCTTGGGGATCTCTTTTTGGAGGTGATCAGTGGATTCTTTCAATTTCTATTTTACCCTCCAGTTTTAAAATGCCAGGGCAGTTTTCCTTGATAATTTCTTAGAAGATGATGTCTAGGCTCTTTTTTTGATCATGACTTTCAGGTAATTTATTAAATATTTATTAAAATTAAATTTCAGTAATTTAAAAATTATTTCTTTTAGATCTGTTTTCCAGGTCAGTTGTTTTTTCCAATGAGATATTTAACATTTTCGTCTGTTTTTTTCATTCTTTTGATTTTGTTTTATTGTTTTTTGATTTCTCATAAAGTCATTGGCTTCTATTTGCTCAATTCTAATTCTTTTTTTTTTAATTTTTAGGCAATTGGGGTTAAGTGACTTGCCCAGGGTCACACAGCTAGTGTCAAGTATTTGGTCTGAGGCTGGATTTGAACTCAGGTCCTCCTGACTTCAGGGCCGGTGCTCTATCCATTTTGCCACCTAGCTGCCCCTAGACACCCAATTCTAATTCTTAAGGGATTATTTTCTTCAGTGAGCTTTTGTACCTCCTTTTCCATTTGGCCAATTCTGCTTTTTAAGGAGTTCTTCTCTTTGGTTTTGTATATCTTTTCCCCTTTTCTTCTCTTCAGTTTTGTATATCTTTCCATTTGGCCAATTTTGCTTTTCAAGGCATTCTTCTCCTCACTGAATTTTTGTACCCTTTTTTTTTTTAACCATTTGGCCTGTTTCTGTTTTTTTGAGGTGTTATTTTATTTTTTGTTCCTTCTTTACCAAGCTGTTGACTCTTTTTTCATTATTTTCTTGCATTGCTCTCATTTCTCTTCCCAATTTTTCCTCTGCCTCTCTTACTTGATTTTAAAATCCTTTTTGACCTCTTCCGTGGCTTGAGACCAATTCATATTTTTCTTCGAGGCTTTGGATATAGCAGTTTTGGCTTTGTTGTCTTCTTCTCAGTGTGAGTTTTGATCTTCCTTGTCACAG